ACCTGAGAGCTTACGGAAAGACGGCAAACCACGCGCAGCTTAGCAATGCTGCCGCTAGTAACGACACGCGGCTATCATCCTCTCTTAACAACATGTTAGCCCAGCTTGTGAACATCAGCAAGTGACTTAGTCACCTTGAAGACTCGCAAGCCCAGATGCAGATCCAAGCCTTAGGGATAACTCAGACGCATCAGCAGTCGCCACAGCTGCCGACTGCTGGTGAGGTTGCCGTCCCAGCTTCAGCGTCAGCGTCCACCCTTGCTAGATGCCTGCTCAACTGGTACACTAACCATATATGGCAAACGGTCAAAAGGTAAGAAGAAACAAAACCAGCGTGCCGAAGCAAAGGCAGCAGTGAGCATAATGATGGTACTGTACCAGAAGCCATTCCAAGCCCCAGAGGAGCCTCCACAAGCCGACGACGCAGCTTACAAGACCTGGAAGCACGTAGTCTGGGAGCTGGCGCTCAAGCTGGATACAGCCGCGAACCAGCGTCTCCACGCCTTCGACCAAAACAAAGAAACTTGCAAAGCTTCGTTTCTTCGCAAGCGCTGGCGCCTGCTGCGTATGTCGCATCCTGAAGCGTATCACTCGCTTGGAGCACAGTATCTTGTCTTGAAATACAGTGGTTCCCTCGTAGATGCCTGCACACCTCCATCACATTTGTGGGCAGCAGTTGACTTGGATTGACAAGCCGTTGGGCAGCACAGTACAGCAAACATAAGAACGAGCAAACAGCACTCACCAGCATCAACACCATTAAACGCCAGTACATCACTGTAGATAGTTCAGCAATCAGTACAGCCTACATTACAAAGCATTACACACCACACACAATGCACATAACAAATTACAGCACACAGTACACAGCATAGCAGCACACACACAGCACAACACAACACTGCAGCATACGCACAACACACAGCACAACACGCCCAATCCAGCAATACACGAGCAAATGCACATCACATCATGTACATACATATACCGCATCACACGCGTCGCTCCATAGCACACCACACAGCACCAGCTATTGCAAAAACACCACAGAGTACAACCCAAACACAATCCACACAGCACAGCTTACAGCTATCTGCCCCCGGCTGGATTCGAACCAGCGGCCTGGAGACGTAGTCTCCCGCTCTACCGCTGAGCTACGGGAGCGTCGGGGTTGGAGAAGGCACGCACCGTGGTCTGGAGTTGAAGCTGTGACTGGAGGCTTGAGGGGTACGCCTGAAAATCGCTGAATGAACAGCGGAGAAGCGTGTCGCAAGGTACCCAACTATTTGCAATTCATTTAATTTAATTCGCTCCACATATCTCAGCTCATTGAATTGCAATTTAAGCCTATCCACTGTCATCCGGAAAAATACTCCGACCGTGATTGGCCGGGTTCCATCCGGTATGACTCAGTCATTCTGTATGGCGACCATCCGGACTGGTGTCCGGAATCTGCCATTTACTGTTGATGTGAAGGCTGCTGTAGGTGTGGATTTAAAATTTGCAGAAAAGAAAAGCTGCCTTCACACCGAAGATATCCTCCGCGCTCGTTACCATCTGCTCATTTTCTATGACGCACCGGAATATGCGCTCAGATAATGGCTTAGCTAAAATATAGTCAAATATAAGCAGTGATTATCTTGAACGAGAAAATAACAAACTACAGCCAAAAATGTATCTGCAAATCAAGTGGTTTGTATGAAATGCACCGTGCAGGTGAATTCATTAAATGCAAACATGGTGGGTATACAAAGGACTTCCACAACATGCATCAGGCGCTGGATTTTCTTAATTCGGACTTCCCTGTCGTGATTCATCAACAGGTGCAGGGGTGCTGGCATATCATTGAAGCTGCTGAGCGCGCGGGGGGGGGGGCAAGATTCCAAACGACACCGCCGGAGCGACAGCCTGCCACTCCTTGGCAAGGCTTTTACACTCGACAGCAATTGCAAAGGCGCAATCAGGACATGTAGCTTTAGGCGAACGGCGCAGCAGGAGCGTGTGTCAGCAGTTTTGCAGGCACGACGTCGAGGTGGAAGCGGGTGAGAAGTGGGGGGAGAAGTTAAGGAGCCCCCCTAGCAAAGCTCCCTTGAAAAAAACTAGTAGCGGCTGTTTAGGCTTAATAAAAGAAAAATCACTAACAGACGCAGAAAGATCATTCTGGGAGATTCGATTATTACAGCCTCAATGGTGCGGACGTACGGTCCTAGTGCTCTAGGGACTCAAGCGACGGGGTTCACTGAGCAGCGAAATGAACCTTCAACCGAAACTGATGCGCAATCGCTAGGAGCAGCGTCCGAGCGACAACTCGCTCGAAGGACATGTAGCCTGCGCCAGCATCCAGATTCGATGTCCAGCGTAGTATCATCACAAGCACTTTGAGCCTTTGCCAATACAGCAACCTCGCTTCCACAACACGATCCAACCGGGTCTCGTCAAAGAGAAGCCTCAGGGCTTGCGCAATATAATCTACAGCCAAAACAGAGATGGCCATTTCATAGAGCAAAAATTCAAAATTGACACGCTATCACATGCAGCAAATCGCCCAGCCCCTCAAACAATGCCGCGTGGAGCTCAGTGCACACATTTACAGGAAGGGGGAATGACACTTGGTATGTTTTCTCAAGTTATCCATATACAAGACAACGATGTAGATTTGGACCCTCCTCCAGCCGAGTACTTCATCCCTGCGCCCCTCCTCTGCAATACGACTCGGAAGAAGCAGCCGAGGCTGCACTACATATGTGGACAAGAGCACATAACTTTAACGTATCTCGGAAAAAGCCTGCCGTAAATTGGAAAGGCGAAGTTAGATATCGTTTTTTTTAATGTGACCATGCTGGAAAACCGAAAAACACAAGAAAACGGCAAGATTCGGATAAAGTACGGCAATTAGGTACATACGTGTGGCTTTCAGCCAGCTTACTGAGAGACCTTGTTAACTCTCCAACTTATGTACGGAGAGTCTGTTAATCTCCAACTTATGTACTGAGAGTTTGTTAGCTCTCCGGGTACTCCGTACCCCGGTGTGTTCCACACCATGTAACCCCGTTACACCGCCGAACATGGCAACCTTGTGGTGAGCGTACCGCACCAAAGGTTAGTAACTGACGGTACACGGTGTCGATGAGGGACACCTATGCGCCGTTGGCACGATGACCAAGACGCGGAGAGAGCGTGGCAGAAGCTCCGCCCGCAAGGATGGATCCTTGCTGAAGCCCAAGGCATAGCCAGAGGTAAGCTGAGAGCTCCCTCTAGTGTGTTGCCCTTTTCGGTGTCGTCCCTCGCGGGAGACACCACGCTCTGGACGCGTTCGCGAGGACTGTCGTGTCCTCTGGTGCGAGATGTGGGCGAATGCCACACGTTCGGATGCTATTGCCCTGTGCCAAAGCACTGCACGCGCGCTAGCGCAGGAGCTAAGGCAGCTCTGAGTGTGGGCTTTGTGGCCAACATAGTTGTGAGCATAGGGCTGCAAACCCAGTGACCGTGAGTGTGACTGATAGCCGCGCCAGTCTCGTGGCTGCTTAGTGTGGGAATTCACCTTTGGGCGTTTTAATTCTCTCACTTCTGATTGGAGAATCAGGTGGCTCTCAGTTAAGTGGGGGAGGATGTAACGGGGTACAATCCAGTGTACCCCAGGTTACATGAAGAGTGACCCGTCACTCTTGTGGATACCTGGTACACGGTACCAGGTGCTCTAGAAGCCAGTCAGGGCATGACTACTTAGCTCCACTAAAGGTAACCTCTAGTATGTAAAGAGCCCAAGCTAAGTTTACTTATAAAAACATCAGTCTTACATCTACTCTTCTAAGTAGCAAACCGTTTCCTCTGAGGCCGGGAGCACGTGGACTCACTTGGGTAGTAAATACCCTTAAGCACTTCCTCCGTGCAAGGTGCTGTGTGACCCCGTCACAGATCTGTTGCTTCAACGCAAGTGTTTTAATCATTGACTGAAGATGAGCACGGTATTATACGATGATTTGGACAAGGGTCTTGTTGTCAAGATGATAGCGGTTTACTTACAGTGCTTCCATGTCGTTTGTTATGTACCGTATATATACATGTATACGGGTATAGTGAGAGCAAAAGCAACGGGTTAAGTTCGCATTATAGCATTCGTTTAGCAATTTGAAAAAAAAACATTTTTTAGAAAACGGTTTTTAAAAATGTTTTTATTTTAACCTTTGAAATCGCTGAAATGCTCATCAATGGACCGACAGAGTGGAGTAAGGCGCTGATCGCGACGGGCGTCAAAGGAAACCTGCTGCAAGATGGTATCAATACTATTGCCTGCAATGATTTCCTTCTTACTTTGCTTACGATTACTTGTTGCTGGCCCTATCCCGAAGGATACAACCCGAGGTTGCAGGTGTCGGCGATGCCGCTTGGCTCGACAGTAGTCATCACGCGCTATGCAGACACGGACAGCACTCCGGGATTTGGGCGAGGCGTATTGGAGCAACCAGAAGATACTCTGATATTACATGAAGATGACTCGAACGGCGTGAGTGACTGGGATCCTTCTGCACAAATGCAGCACTAATGTGCAACACCTGTGTGTGGCCTTGCAGGACCTATATCGGCTCGTAGCTTGGTCTCGCGGCTCACCTGAGTCAAGCCTGCTGGCAATTGCATCGACTACTCAAGTGGAAATCTGGGAAGTCTCCATTTCAAGGTAAGGTCGACATAAACCTGACTGGCAATCACCATTTTACATTAGTGTACTGCGTTTTGTTGCTCTCCCAGTGGCATTTCGGCAGCACTAAGGGGCTCTGTCGAGCTTGATCGTCCGCAAGGGTTGGCTTGGAGCCCGTGCAGCGATATTCTACTGGTATGCGCGCTATATGCTGCTTAAAATGAAACGGGCTAAGTGTACTGGTCCACTTTGGGCATCTTAGGCCTACGCCAAGACGGACATCCTACTTATCACCAATTTGGGATCAGCGCTACTGTGGCGGGCAATACACACAGAGTCCAGTACGCGCCTCGCGTGGAACGCGTGCGCGTGGAGTCCTTGCGGGTTACAAATATCACTGTGCGTGATACTTGTTTAAGCTTTTGGCAGTTCACTTTGCTTAAGCTGACACTTACTTTGCCTCAACAGAGCGCAGAATCACGTTCTTCATTGCTTCAGTTGGACCAACGCCGACGCATTCCCCTCCGAGCCTCCAACGCAGGACCAGATCGATGCGAGCGGTTCCTTGAAAGGCACCAATGGACTTCGATTGGACATTGGGAACGCTTCCGTTGGCCCCATTGCTGCAGTCGCACGCGTAACACCAACTATCTGCATTCTCGCGACAGATAGCAAAGTGGTTCTTGAAGATATCTCCCGTGCAGCTCCAGCGTTAAACCCGATATTCAGCAGTACATTGCCAATCGAAACATCGTCAGTATCCAGTTTGCTGCTGCATCCGGGAAGCTCAACTCGTGCAGATATTCAAGAGCGAGTAGCGTCTTCGTCCAACGATATCATTGACTTGACTTCGATACGCATCTCAAGCAGCTTCCAGAGTTCGCTGCAAATACTGAATCGCACTGAGGTACGACGCTGTTGGAGATTGATTTATTCCCTTGCAGTCTGATAATTAAAACTGCGAATGATGTCCTCTATTCCAGAATACTGAAATTGCCCCACAGACGAAGCCTCGTTCCCGCTTGCTGATTGTCGAGCACAAAGCACAGCAGTGGAGCATCACTTCAACCCTCGATCTGCCCCACTTGACCTCACCCGACGTCATTGCTGTCCAGGTTTGTCGCAATGTTACCGTGCAAGAGGTATCGCCAACATTATTTCGCATTTATTGATATGCAGGGCATGCGGGTAATTGTAGGAAGCACCTTGTCGCCGCGTTTAATTGTTGCGCACTTGGACGTTTCCGATCGCATGGAGTGGACGGCCTCGCTCTCCGGTGAACTGGTAAATCATGAGGCCACTTTTGGCGTCATCGTGCCCGATAGCTTACGCATGTTCTTCTATTGGTTGTCCCAGGAATTGCCGTCCACACATGTGTGCAGAGGAATCTACCTCGCCGAGAGGTCTCCGTTCGCTGACGTCGCGTCGACCGAGAAGCGCAAGCGCGCCACCTTTTTCCATGCGGCTGCGACCAATGAGCCAGTGCCGATCTATCTGTCTAAGTTCAAGGTGCCTCGCCGGACTCGACCCACGTCAATTCCCAAGTTAACCGGCAGTGGTCAGGAATCGCTTCCAAGGCCTGATAAGATGGCGAGGAGATCTGAGGACGAGGATGGCGCCAGCGGTGAGAGCAAGGAACTGTTAGAGCTCATCCTGGAGAAGATGGCGGCCATGCAGACGCAATTAAACGTACGCTTCGACGACGTGGACAAAATGCTGCTGCAGTTATCGGCGCGCGTCGAGCAACTGGAGCGTAACGGCGGAACAAGTGCCAGGTAATTGTTGCAGGACGTAGACCAATGTAGCCATCGTACCATCATTCTTGGCTCAATACAAACTTCAAGTTTAAGAAACGATTCCCTGTGATTCTCGATAATTCTTTGTGTACGAGTGATGTGGCTCTCGCTGAACAGCTCCTGTCCCCACGGGTTGGATCGTCAGAATCCAATCGGAAGCGAAAACAGTAAGAAGACACCAAGACACAAGATGGGCCGTTCCCGTTCCTCGCGTCCTGCCGCTCGCCCGGCCCCTCGCCGCGCTCCGGCCCCCGCCCAGCCGCGTCGCTCTGCGCCCGCACCGGCTCGCACGCAGGCCGCTCCCGCTCCGGCGCAGCAGAGCTCCAGCAGTGGCGGCGGCATGATGAGTGGCCTCATGGGTACGGTGGCCCAGGGCATGGCCTTCGGCACGGGTAGCGCTATTGCACACCGTGCCGTGGGCGCCGTCGCCGGCTCGTTCTCGGGCGGCTCGGATGCCCCGCAGCAGCAGGAGGCCGCTCCGGCTTCGCAAGACTACCAAGCCACACAGCCGCCCCAGCAGGACCACTGCGGCCCCAACCAGAAGGCCTTCCTCGAGTGCCTCAACAGCAACAGCAACGACATCAGCTCTTGCCAATTCTACCTAGACCAGTTCAAGCAATGCCAGCTGCAGCAGCAGAACACCTTCGTGTAGATGTACAGATCTGCAGACCGCTTTTTGACAAAGATGCGAGCATTGATACCACGACAACGACCCCGTACGCGAGAGAAACCTCAAACTCATTTGTTTGCGCCACTGATTCCCTTGTCAGTGTCGTTGACGAATAGGATGCGTGATTTTTGCTAGTGTGAATACAGCGACGAGAGCACAATTGAGCAACACAAATAAATAAACTACACGTGCAAACTGCACAGGTTCGCCGTTAGTTGTCTTATTCTGCTTCAGCTTCTTTATTACTACTACAGTAGTATAGTACAGTTTAGTCATTCCCCTTCATCGGTTCCCGCTAAAGGTTGATTCTGCTTCTTGTGGACGCATATGCGGCTACGACTCGGAGCCTCGTAGAACGAGGGCACATTCGACTCACACGTCAAGACATGCTGTCCCTGATAGCACGCAGTAGTGCGACTTCATAGTACAAACACAAGTAGTAGTTCCATTTCAACCGTCATAAGCACCGCGCATTTAAGTCAATTTCCTCTTGCTTTTAGTCATCAGATGTGAGACGATCGAAGCACCAAAGCGATATATGTACTCAGTACATTGTACCGTACTGTAGCGGCCACCACACGGATGAGTCTTGAATCTCATCAGGACAAGCAGCCAATTCAATTGACACGAAGAGTGCCTTCAGGAACTTGAAGGACCGCGAACTTTCTTTTCAGTTCTGTCTTGCCGTACATACTGCTCTTGACACTTTGCGTGCAGCCAAGCCAGACAACGGCCCCTTCGCTCAATTCTCCGCCTGCACTCATCCAACCGCAAGGCACCCTCTTGGCCAATTCGGTCTGATTCCGTCTCATGGGCTCGCCCGGTTCAAGTGCCCATTTCGAGTTGCTTAAAGGGAGCTCAATGTGCCCAATTCGAAGATGACGGAATCGCTGTGACTTATGCAGCCCCACTACATAAGATGTACATGTACTTCTTCAGCGCTAGCCATAGCACAAACTACTAATAAGTCATCTTCACACTCTCCGCATGCAGAGAGTATTGCATTACAGCTCAATACATATTGATCTACATTGAAAATGATCTTCGGGGTTTGGGCCCAGATTCATTAGTGAAACCAGTACAGCCGCTATCCATGAATACCACACGGTAAACTCATGTGTTTGAATCGCGAGGCTCGAGCACATGTGGAACGCGACTTGAGCGGAGCCTCAAGTAAAAAAAAACTCGCACTCCGCAGTGAGCGTCGCTGTGCTTCCCAAAAAATGGGCGCTGACCCCATCAAGCAGACCATCACTCCTTCTTCACCGGAAAAACCTCGGACAAAATTGAACCTCGCATTATCAGTAGGATTGTAAGCAGCATACTCGAGATCATATATTTTAAGTGCCAGCGGGCTTCTCTGCTCCACCCGTTTGAGGGCCTTTTCTCTGTTTTGACCCCCTCCGGCCTTCGCGTTTCCTTACGCGGTTGGTTCCCGATATGAGCGCCATTTCCTCTTTTGGATCCAGCTAGTCCGAAAGGGAGAAGCCCGAGAGAACCTACCACCAACCCGCCGCTAACCCCCCACTCAAGCAGCAACCATGGTACGCGCTTGTTACAGCAAAATAAAAGCAGCAAATGCACAGCACTAAAAAGACAAGAAACAGGAGACTAATGCGACCCCCATAATGACTTTCTCAGGTGAACTTCACGGTCGACCAGATGCGTGAGATCATGGACCACACGAAGAACATTCGTAACATGTCCGTGATTGCCCACGTCGATCACGGTAAGTCGACGCTGACCGACTCTCTGGTGTCCAAGGCCGGTATTATCTCGGCCAAGCACGCCGGTGAGGCCCGTTTCACGGACACCCGTGCCGATGAGCAGGAGCGTTGCATTACCATCAAGTCGACGGGTATCTCGATGTTCTTCGAGTACGACATGGACGTCGGTGAGCAGGCCACGGCTGACGCTATCGCCAAGGAATCGACCGAGGAGCTCGCTCCCGGCCAGGAGGTTGTGATCAACAAGAACTCGTATTTGATTAACCTTATCGACTCGCCTGGTCACGTTGACTTTTCGTCCGAAGTGACGGCTGCTCTGCGTGTGACGGACGGTGCTCTGGTCGTGGTGGACTGCATTGAAGGTGTCTGCGTGCAGACCGAGACAGTGTTGCGTCAGTCGATCGGTGAGCGTGTCAAGCCCGTGCTTATGGTGAACAAGGTGGACCGTGCTCTTCTGGAGCTGCACCTTGAGCCAGAGGACTGCTACCAGTCGTTCACGCGTGCTATTGAGACGGTGAACGTGGTCATTGCCACCTACTTCGACGAGAAGCTGGGTGACGTCCAGGTGTACCCCGAGAAGGGTACGGTTGCCTTCGGTTCGGGTCTCCACCAGTGGGGTTTCACCCTGAAGAAGTTCGCTCGTCTTTACTCGAAGAAGTTCGGTATTGCTGAGGACAAGATGATGCAGAAGCTGTGGGGCGACTGGTACTTCGACGCCGCTAACAAGAAGTGGACGAGCAAGAACAACGCCGAGGGCACGCTCAAGCGTGCTTTCTGCCAGTTCATTATGGACCCCATCATCAAGATGTTCGACGCCATCATGAACGACAAGAAGGCCAAGTACGAGAAGATGATGAAGGCTGTGGGTGTGGAGCTCAAGTCGGACGAGAAGGAACTGACTGGCAAGCCTCTGCTTAAGCGTGTTATGCAGCGCTGGCTGCCGGCTGCTGACGCCGTGCTGGAGATGATTGTGGTGCACCTGCCGTCCCCCATTACGGCTCAGCGTTACCGTGTGGACACTCTGTACGAGGGCCCCCAGGACGACGAGTGTGCCGAGGCTATCCGCAAGTGCGACGTCAACGGTCCTCTGGTCATGTACGTGTCCAAGATGGTGCCGACCTCGGACAAGGGCCGTTTCTACGCGTTCGGCCGTGTGTTCGCCGGTAAGATCGCTACGGGCCAGAAGGTCCGCATGCTTGGCCCTAACTACGTGCCCGGCAAGAAGACCGACCTGTGGGTCAAGAACATTCAGCGTACCGTCATTATGATGGGTCGCTACGTCGAGCAGACCCCCGACATTCCGGCCGGTAACACGTGCGCCCTGGTGGGTGTCGACCAGTACCTGCTCAAGTCTGGTACCATCACGACGTCCGAGACGGGCCACACTATCCGTACCATGAAGTTCTCCGTGTCGCCCGTTGTGCGTGTGGCTGTGGAGCCCAAGACTGCTTCGGACCTGCCCAAGCTGGTGGAAGGCATGAAGCGTCTGTCCAAGTCGGACCCTATGGTTCTCTGTTACACGGAGGAGTCAGGCGAGCACATTATCGCTGGTGCTGGTGAGCTCCACCTTGAGATCTGTCTGAAGGATCTGCAGGAGGAGTTCATGGGCACGGAGGTTAAGATCTCGGAGCCTGTCGTGTCGTACCGTGAGACGATCACGGGCAACTCGTCCAAGACGTGTCTGTCCAAGTCGCCAAACAAGCACAACCGTCTCTTCTGCGAGGCCTTGCCTCTTGGTGACGAGCTGACTCAGGAGATTGAGGAGGACAAGGACGAGGTCACCCCTCGTCACGACTTCAAGCTTCGCGCTCGCTACCTGGCTGACAACCACGGCTGGGACGTGACTGACGCCCGTAAGATCTGGGGCTACGGCCCGGACGGCACGGGTGCCAACCTGTTCGTGGACTCCACCAAGGGTGTGTCGTACCTGAACGAAATCAAGGAGTCGGTGCTTGGCGGCTTCAACTGGGCCACCAAGGACGGTGTGCTTTGCGAGGAGGTCGTGCGCGGCATGCGTGTCAACCTTCTGGATGTGGTGCTTCACGCTGATGCTATTCACCGTGGTATGGGCCAGATCCTGCCCACCACCCGTCGTGTGGTGTACGCTTGTCAGCTCGTGTCGGAGCCTGCTCTGATGGAGCCGGTCTTCCTTGCCGACATCCAGGTTCCCCAGGACGCCGTTGGTGGCGTGTACGGTGTGCTGACCCGTCGTCGTGGTCACGTGTTCGCCGAGGAGCAGCGTCCGGGCACCCCCATGATGCAGCTGAAGGCTTACCTGCCTGTCAACGAGTCGTTCGGTTTCACTGCTGACCTGCGTCAGGCTACGGGTGGCAAGGCCTTCCCGCAGTGCGTGTTCGACCACTACCAGGTTATTGGCGGTGACCCGACCGACTTGGGCAACATGTCCGGCAAGCTGGTGAACGGCGTGCGTGTCCGCAAGGGTCTGTCCCCGGATGTGCCCCCTCTCGACCGCTTCTACGACCGTCTGTAAGGCGTTTAGCTCGAGCAAAGTCTTCTGGCGTGGTGATGACCTGTGCCTTTAGCGCGGGCGAGTCTCATGAGTGTAGATTTGTTTCGGCTTTCTGACTCGGTTAAACATCGTTGAACGGAAATGCCTCTTTTTATATCTGCATTCCTTATCGTTGCTTCATCAGCAGTAGTAGTACGAAATAGTATTATTAGTACCACAGTAAAACCTTTTTTAAGTGATACTGTTGTTTGATCTATGGACGACTACTCTAAGCTTATCAGCATTCCTCGTTCAGAAAAGAGGTCATTCATTATTCGTCCGCCAACAAAAATACGTGTTTTAATTGCACATTTTCACAAGTATTCTGACATGGAGTCGAAATAAGTGGAGGTCTGTCTACATATGTCTAATTGCGGCTATTACTACATGTATGAATGACTTGGTGTTTCATAGTTTAACCTTATCCGTGAGTCCAGGAGACTTACATACTTAAATCCATTTAGATAGTTTTAGTAGGGTGCTTCCAGGTCTAAAAGTACATTTGCATTTTATGCTTCCTGAAGTCGGCACGCTTTCATTTACTGTACGTGGATATTTGCGCGCTTTCTAGCTCATGCAATATTGCCAGACTAAGATTTAGTCCGCACTACTTACAATTTTTGGTTGCAGTCGAAGAATGATACAAAAAATTTAACTGCTGGTTATCAATACTGACATAAAAATACTTACAAGCTTCTCCACGGCCACTACGTAGTGGTAGGCTACACGTATACACCTGCTGTCCTCATAATTTCGTATCAGGTTTGTCATTGGAGCATATCAAGTTTCCTCCACAGTAATCTCAGGGAGCGGACTTGGTGGTACAGTATCAAGTACAACCGGATATCAGGTTCATTTAAGAGAGGTTTTAGTGAAGTAGTCTTACGCCGACTACTGTATTACTGCAAGTAAGGTAAGGTAAGGTATTACGTGTTCGCGAAGCCAAATTACACCTACTGCAAGTATTGCTCACTGTTTTTTATAATACTAAAAACGTAGTAGTAATTTAATAATATATGCTCTCGTAAAATATTAGTACTGCTAATGTTTATTTCTGTAGTATAGCATCTGTTCTGTGTAGTACTATTACATGTACAATATTAGTACTGTAGTATTAAACTTCGTAGTAGTAGTAGTAATGCTCTCGCGCTCAGTAATCTCTTTGATAGGGTAGTGTCGCTCTCTCTCGTCTTCGTACTAGTAAGAAAATCAGAGTACATGTACATGTACAACTGAACTAATCATTGAATCACTTTCTGGAGCACCAGGTACTTGGAGGTGACGTGTTCTCTATTGTGGTGACGAGTCTTCACCTATTGACATTCCTCACGTGCATGAGCTGCTTCCGGAGCAGTGCTCCGAACGACCCAAGCCATACATGCTTATTCGCGAACTATTATTATACGTGCATGTAGTATGAAAGCAAGAGGCCCTTTACGTTAGTACTACAGAATACAGTATCAACTATGCTCGTGATGGGCGGCATTCTACCGAAATAGATAGAACTTCAACCTGTTGTTCCTCGCACCATCATCCAGGCAATTTACATGTGGAGGCCACACTGGAATGAACATGCATGTAGCCGGTCCTAAGCTGCTGTGCGGAGTCCTTGCACCTGCATGTCGCAATTGTAAACGCCAACGCTTACGAAATGGACAACAACGGTCGTTACACCCACCTAAGCTCGCACCAAAGGTGTTTACCAAGCTGCACGCGCTTGAAGTTGTTTGTCTTCCGCCATTGCGAATCCCCCGTTGACGTCATTCGAGTCGCTTTCTAACCTCCGTAAGTACGGACGAGCTTCTTCTGTAGACAGTGGAAGCTTCTGATGCCGGTGTGGTTGAAGCTGTTAGTGTATTGACGCACTCCTATTGAGACTGCATTGGCAAATAGGTCATTCTGCGTTTTGCCAGCCCTTCAGCTCCTCGTCAGACCTCTCGCCTTCACCATGCAGCGCCAGATCCTGCGTCAAGCTCCTCGCGTCAAGGCCAGCGCCTTCGCAATGAAATCGGCCTCCACAGCCGCCAAGGCCTCGCCGCTGATTCTGTCGCGTAACTTCTCGACGCCAGTGCCGGTCAAACAGACCAACCTGCTAATCAACGGCGAATTCGTTCCGTCCATCACTGGAAAGACCTTCGAGACGTTCAACCCCGCCACGGAGGAAAAGATCGCCGACGTAGCCGAAGCCGGAACCGCCGACATCGATGCTGCTGTTGCTGCCGCTCGCTCTGCCTTCGAGGGGCCATGGCGCACCATGCCCGCGGCGGAGCGTGGTCGTCTTATCAACAAGCTCGCAGACCTCATCGAAGAAAACATCGACGAGCTCGCTGCCCTCGAGGCGCTTGACAACGGCAAGCCATGCGCCGAGGCCAAGGCCGCTGACCTGGGTCTTGTACTGAAGACCTACCGCTACTATGCTGGCTGGCCCGACAAGATCCACGGTGCCGTGATCCCCATCACCGGCCCCTACCTTTGTTATAACAAGGCCGAACCCGTCGGCGTGTGTGCTCAGATCATCCCGTGGAACTTCCCTCTGCTCATGATGGCGTGGAAGCTGGGACCCGCTCTTGCTGCCGGTAACACCATTGTGCTAAAGCCTGCCGAACAGACCCCACTGTCTGCTCTTCGAGTGGGTGAACTTATCGTTGAGGCTGGCTTCCCCAAGGGTGTGATCAATATCGTGCCCGGTGTGGGCCCCACTGCCGGTCGCCACTTGGCGCAGCACCCGAACGTCGACAAGGTCGCGTTCACCGGTTCCACTGAGGTTGGCTACCAGATCATGCGCACGTCACACGTGAGTAACATCAAGCGGGTGACGCTGGAACTCGGTGGCAAGTCTGCCAATATCATCCTGGACGATGCTGACATCGACCTTGCCATTCAGCAGTCGCAACTCGGTCTGTTCCTAAACCAGGGCCAGTGTTGCATTGCTGGTACCCGTGTGTATGTCCAGGAGGGAATCTACGATGAGTTTGTGCGCCGCTCTGTGGAGGCTGCCAGCTCGCGTGTGGTCGGCGACCCGTTCAGCTCTGCCACGCAGCAGGGCGCGCAGATTGACGAGACCCAGTTCGAGAAGATCTTGGGATACATTGACGAAGGTGTCAAGGAAGGCGCTCGTCTGTTGACTGGCGGCAAGCGCCACGGTGACAAAGGCTGGTTCATTGAGCCCACTGTGTTCGCAGATGTGACGGACGACATGACAATTGCTCGCGAGGAGATCTTCGGTCCAGTCATGTCCATTCTCAAGTTCAAGACCATCGACGAAGTCATTGAACGCGCCAACGACTCCGTTTACGGTCTTGGAGCTGGCGTTGTGACCAAAAACATTGACAACGCCATCAAGATCTCCAACGGTATTCGCACAGGAACGGTGTACGTCAACTGCTACGACGTGCTCGACGCCAACACCCCGTTCGGTGGCTTCAAGGACTCTGGTATCGGTCGCGAGAACGGCGAGCTGGGCCTGCGCAACTACTTGGAGCACAAAACGGTGATTATCAAGCGCCCGGACGACTCGATGCCTTAAGTTTGTTTCTGTTGTTTTGAAAGTTTAAAGCAAGTAAGCTGAACTAATGAAAATGATGCACGTCTCTCCATCAAGTCTTGAGATTAGATTAATGTCACGCCAGTACACCACCGCAAAGATTTAAACGAAGTCTTTCCGTGCTCCACGTTAAAGAAATTCGCGCGATACTGGGTTTGTCAAGAAACATTTTCTTATCGTATTTCGATTGGCTGAAAAAAAGGCTATTTTTGGCCAACTAATTCGTGCCAAGTCCCTCGTTCTTATGACGTCTCGTCGAAGCGAGAACGTCGCTCTACGTCACATCTCTGCGGGACCAGCGCGTTCATGTACAACCGAATGGCGAACGGCCGAGCTAGCGCACGCGAATCTCTCTTCTCAGGGGCCTCTTCGCGAACTCAGGTAGCGTCTTACGACTGCAGTTTCGTTTAGATCGCAGACAGGTCGAGCTAACGCATTTAATATTGCTACAGACGGGAGGGAATGTAGACAACGGAGAGCAGGCCAAGCGGCTGCTCGAAGAACAAAACGACGAGCAGATCAGTCACTTGTCGCTACAGATCACGCAACTGAAGCAGGTTGGGAGCTGTACCTCGATTTTGTCATCCGCAGCGCTGGTTATTGCTCACCACGCTGTTGTGTTGATTTATTACAGCTCTCGGGTAATATTCATGCGGAGGTTGTGGATCAGAACAGCTTCTTGGACAGCATGGTGCGCTTCATCGTGTTTTATTTGCTTGACACTATTGGAGACTTACGATTACTATGATGCAGGGCAAAGAGTTCGATAACACGGAAGGCCTGCTTGGCGGCACAATGAAGCGACTTGGCGTGATGATGGAGCAGGGCGGAAGTAAGCACATGCTGTATCTCATCATGTTCGTCGTCGTGGTGTTTGTGCTGCTCTACTTCACCATCCGATCTCACTAGAAAGGGTAATCAAACACGACGCCACTTTTTTCTCTGTCTTGAAGCCGGATAAGCCACTTTGGGTTTCTTTCGCAATTCTTCCACATGTATACTGTATACTGTATACTGAACTCATTTCAAGGCATGAAAATCTTCTTCACCGACGTGGTAACGAACACAAACTTCGGGGAACTTGTCGAGCGCAACAAGAGCCAACAGACATGGGCAACTTCCTCGCCACACCGATCACCGACAAGGACACTGATGGAGGCGAGGGAAACGGCCTCTCGTTCGGTCTGGCCACCATGCAGGGATGGCGCACAGGTATGGAGGACGCGCACGTGGCTCAGATCAACCCTGAAGGGCTGCCCCAGGGCTGCTCGCTCTTCGCGGTCTTTGACGGCCACGGTGGGCGTTTAGCCGCTGACCTGGCAGCCGAGGGGATCGAGAAGGAGCTGTCCGCTGTCATGAAGAACGACGTGTTCCCGAACGGCAAGGCGGATGACGCGGACCCTGCCAAGATCGGCAAAGCCATGCGTGACGCCTTTATGAACCTGGACCAGAACATCCGTAAAACGTTCGATGAGAGCTACGGCTCGGACCAAAGCGGCTGTACTGCCATCGCTGCGCTCGTTACTCCAACACACATCATCGTGGCCAACTCGGGCGACTCACGCAGCGTCATGGCCAAGAACGGCCGCACGGTCGAGATGTCCTTCGACCATAAACCCATTAATGTACGCCCGAGTCGATGATACTGATATATTAGTAATAAACTAATGAATTGTGGCTATTGCAGGCCGGGGAACGTAAGCGTATCCAGGATGCCGGCGGGCTGGTGCGCAGTAACCGTGTGAATGGAGATCTGGCGGTGTCGCGAGCACTTGGCGACTTTTCCTACAAGGCTCGCGCTGACTTGCCCGCGGAGCAGCAACAAGTGTCTGCGGAACCGGATATTGAAGTGCAGAAGATCGACAAAACGGAGGAGTTCTTGGTGCTCGCGTGTGACGGAATCTGGGACGTCATGAGCAACGACGAAATCTGTGCCTTCGTCCGCCAGCTGATGAGCAATGGCGAGACGGACTTGAAGTTAATAGCGGAAGAGATCCTGGACAACTGCCTACGCGCCGGAAGGTACGAGAGCTGCAACAATCTCATATTTTAATTTTGTTTTTCTGTGCGATGCTAATCCTTTCGCCTGTCTTTCCAGCCGTGACAATATGAGCGCGGTGATTGTCAAATTCCCTGGCGCCAAGCTGGGCTCGGGCGGCGGCGTGGCCAAGATCCGGGAGGAACGTGCTCGCTTGGAGAAAGCTGAGCAGGACACCAATGATCAATTTGACAATGAGGATAATGGAGTTGCAGGTGCCCTACCGGCTTCCAAGTCCTCGTAGTTATGCAGCGCAAACGGTAAAGTGGAGACGTAGGGTGCGTATCCATCAGTTCCTATGCTTCGTTACAACCAGCTAGCCTTTCGGTGTTTCCCACCCTTCGTCCATCAAGATCAATGACAACCGCTTATCAGTCCCCGTTGTGGCATTTGCGGTAAATGGATTCTTTTGCCAGCTGCAACGATAAAACCCAACCAGTATTTGCAAATGTCATAAAGTGTTATGTACGTACACGGACGTTTTTTTTTCCTGTTTTAAACACAGCAGAGACAACTCTAGTTTCGGGCCACTTTTGCCTGGTTGGCCATCTCGCTCTTGCAGTGCGCCGTATTGTTGGTAGGTCGCTTGAATTTGGATAAGTCCAAGGCCCGAAAATACGCGATGGTGCGCATGAGTCCTTCTTCAATGCAAATATGGGGGTTCCAATCCAAATACGTTCTGAAACAACAGTACAAAGTGAGTCAACGACATGGCAACTATTGCCAAAACAATAAACGCACCTGGCAAGAGTGATGTCAGGTTTCCGCAACTTGGGGTCATTGTTAGGCAAATCCCGGAACACCAAGCGGCTGCAAGAATTTGTCAGGCGGATGACCATTTCAGCAAGCTCGCGGATAGTCATCTCGTGCGGGTTGCCCAGGTTCATGGGTCCCACGCACGTCTTGCAGTCCATGAAGCGAATTATCGCTTCTACAAGGTCGTCCACGAAGCAGAAGGAGCGCGTCTGGCTACCCGTGCCGTATATCGTGATGTCCTCGCCCTGTAGCGCCTGCATGATAAAGTTGCTTACCACACGTCCATCGTACGGATGCATGCCCGGTCCATACGTGTTGAAGATGCGTGCCACACGGATATCCACTGCTTGTGTGCGGTGATATTCGAAAAACAGCGTCTCGGCCACGCGTTTGCCTTCATCATAGCACGCTCTCACCCCGGTGCAGTCGACATTGCCCAGGTAGGACTCTACCTGCGGCGAGACCTCCGGGTCGCCGTACACTTCGCTAGTCGAGGCTTGGAACACGCGCGCCTTGACGCGCTTGGCCAGGCCGAGGACGTTGATGGCGCCCATAAAAGACACCTTGGTGGTCTTAATGGGGTTGTATTGGTAGTGCACAGGTGACGCAGGACACGCCATATTGTAGATCTGGTCTACTTCGCACGAGTAGGGCTCCGTGACGTCGTGACGCACGAACTCAAAGTTCGGGTAGCGCATTTGCAAGTCCAGGACGTTGGCACGCTGGCTAGTGAAGAGATTGTCAAGACAGATGACCTCGTGGCCCTGATCCAAAAGACGGCGGCACAAGTGGATACCGATGAAGCCGGCGCCGCCTGTCACGAGGATGCGTTGCATAGTGCATTCCTGCACCTGACTGGGCAACGACAGAGGTCGGCGGCGCTGTGGCGGCGGCGGTTCTTCGCGAGCTACGATGGTCACGGGTGACACAGGCGCGGCCGGCGTCGCGGGCTGTTGCACTTGGTGGTCGTCGTTCTGCGTCATCTCTGGCGAAGCAACTGAGGGAGTGGGTGCCATCGTCGATGGCTATTGCTCTGGCTATGTGTCTTATTCAAGTCTGACCTTCGCGACGGAGAGTGATTTTCTTGTCACATTGTGGCGAGTAAACTGTCGAATGTTTTTTTATCTTGGATAAAGTAAGGTACAGTTTGGGTACTCAAAGAATACAGATCGATTTTCAGTGGTACAGAAAAACATTTTTATTGTTTCCTTACAAAAAGCAGCAAGCAGGATGCCAGCGACGGCGGGGCGTGTGCGGATGCCCCACAACAACCGCATGCACAGTAGCGCGACGCTCAAGATGACGGGCATCTGGAAGAACACCATCGGTTACGACCCGTACGCGGCCAAGGGCGAGCAGCAAGCTCGAGCAAGCCAAAGGTCTCATGGCACTCGCCAAGCTCTCCAACAAGTCGGTGGGTGACAATTGTCTCATAAGAGGCAAAAGGGAAGATTTGGGTTTTACTAACTTTTTACTGTTAGAACGATGTGCGCGGTGCCTGCAAAAAGGTAACATTTTCTTTTGTTTACTCAATTTGTTTCGATACTAAAAAAAATGTGCAACTATTAAATGCAGTGTGGAATGGTGGGTCATTTGACTTTCCAATGTCGGAATCATTTAGGAGGCGAAGAGAAGCGCGTAATGTCGTCGGACTCGGACTTGTCTTCGTCCTCGGTAAGCGTCACGCTGACATTGTCTTCGTCCTCGGTATGCGTCACGGTGACATTGGCACTTTCAACATCGTGCAACTTTTGTTGCATTTCGTTTTGCAGGATTCTTCAAGTGACGAAGATGAAAGTGAAGATGAAAAGGGCAACAAACCACGCCGTCCGTCATCGCGCGGACGGAGCAGAAGCCGCAGTCCGAGCGAAGCCAAAGAGCGACCAAGAAACCGCTCAAAAAGTCGCAGTCGGAGCCGCAGTACAGGTCGACGTCGTCGAGAAAAATCTCCATCCAGAAGCCGCAGCTCGAGTCGTGGACGGAATCGCAGCCGTGAGAAGAGACGTCGACGCAGTCGCAGCTCGAGTGCTGGCTCTGAGCGGGAAAGAAGCAAGCGACGACGACGCTCGGACAGCGAGAATCGCTCGTCGTCAAAGAGAGAAAAGACCCGGAAAAGCTCGTCGAAGAAGAAGCACAAGGATCGAAAGGAGAAAGATCGCAAACGTCGTCATCGCCACGACTCGAAGAAAAAGTCACACTCGAAGAAGAAGCGCCATTGAACAACGTGACAAAATGGCACTCCACTCGGGTAGAGGAAGCATCTAAAACCTAGCTAGCTTTTTACATTTTTTTGCCACTTTATACATCTGCGCCTTGCAATCTTTAGGGTGAAATGCCATTGGAAATCTTCTGGAACCAATCGTATTGCCTTGTGCCGCGGTGTCCGTTGCTCTTGTCGACGATGCGAGCAGCTGTGCGTTCCACGTCTTGTACGCTCCATCCGATACACAGTCGACGACTTAGTCGCCGCACAATACGCGCCCGAGATCGCCCTTTGAAGCATGGGAAGCACGAATCTTTGGACGAGAGATACACGAGTGACAGCAGTTGCTGAGCTTCCAAGTGCAAGGCAAGCAAACCTTGAGCTACGAGCTGTCGGTAGTAGTCGAAACCCTCTCCGCCCATGATCTCCACCATCTCCTGCGTCAGCTTGAACGGAGCAGTCTCGAGACTGAAGGTGTTGCCCGGCGCAATACCCAGAACGAAGCCGAAATCAATGTGAACAACGTGCCCTTCAGTGTCCAGCATGATGTTGCCGTTGTGTCGATCTTTGACCAGGAAGATGTAGGAAAAGAGGCTGTACGCCGCCATACTCGAGATGAAATTCGCTCGAGCTCTCTCCGAGCGGACCGGGTCGTGTTCACCCGTAACGGGGTCTCGGCCGCAAGCCCGTTCGAAGATAACGGGCAATGACGTACCAACGCCACTGATTTTCGTGCCTTTCTTCTTCAATCCATCCAGTGACTGCGCATCCGTGATCACCTCCAGTAAGCCACAATCTTTGCCTGCACACACGATACTGTAGTATCGCATCCAGAGATTGAGACTATGTTTCCGGAAAATGAGTTGGAACAGCTTCAATCCTTGTAGCACGAACACTTCTTGACGCATATCGTCAAAACTCTTGGCAATCACCGGAGCTAACGCCCACCCGTCAAAGCGAGAAAACGTGCTCGCTTCGCGGATACGCTTCTGCGTGTCAGCAAAGCGTTCGCCGAAGAACGGACACTTAAGAACTTGTGCTGCGTTTGTCGAGTCCAAGCTGTCACTCGTGTCCGCGCCAACGTCACCACTTACTTCTTCCGCCTCGCCTTCGTCGGAGTAACCTGCCATCTCACTAAGTGGCGTACAGCCAGCTGGCAATACGGTGCTGAGTCTATCGAGGTCTTCGGAGATGAAAGACCGAAAAGAAGCTTGAGAATCGCTGCGACTGACGGGGATTAAGTCGGCCACGTACGTTCCAACGGTCTCTCCGTCAAGATAGTTGAGGATCTCCAGCTGCTCTGGAGCTAATAAATCGTCTTTTTCTTGCTCCATTTTCACCGCATTATCCACCAACGCATCAACTTGGCTGTCGTGCTTAGGCAGGGGATCAAGTTCGCGAGATTCGCCATCACATCCTAAAGATGACGCGATAATCTCGAAGAAAACCAACGTCGGGGCTCGAGCCTTGGTGGAAAACACTGTTCCTTCATTGACGAGTACGTTGACGACACGATGAGGGTGAGCCATGGCTCCAGAGAGCGGCAACGCAGCCTCGGGTCGGATGTGTTTGCCTCGTAACATTTCCTGTAACAATGCAGGGAGCTGTTTCTTCCGCAGAGAAGGCTCCGAAATGTTCTCTTTCAAGTACGTGCACAGGTCCACTAAGAAGCGCACGAGCCGAACTTCGTCACTGAAAATATGCTGCGCTGGTTTGTTCCACATGCGCTGCTTCGCTTCCACGAGATGCTGCGTGCCTGATCTTTGACGTTCCAGGATCATTAGCTGTGCTTGTTCATGGTAGTCCAAGGGGAACGGATCGAGAAATCCATCGCCGACACGGAGCTGAGTCTGAATGTTTCGAGAACTGACCACGGTTTCCTCCTTGCTGCGAGCGAGAAGCCACTCAAAGAACGGAGACTCGCGCTGCGACGCAGCATATGCTCTTCGTACATACTCGTACAGTTGTCCAAGCAGCTTCTCCAATGACTCACGCTGATGCAGTGGCGCTTGCGGGAACAATAGTTGCGGCAGGACACTGCGAGGTTCGCCAAAGTTGACGTTCGTAACAAAGAATAACATGACTACAATGCCGTTGCCGCGCTTGTAGAACCCTCCCGACATTGCGTCCCAGTGAGCTGCAATGCACTCCCACGTCGCTTTGACTGCCAAGTGGACACTACGACGCGCCGTAGCAGCCAGGAAGAAGAGATAAAAGGCTCGTACACTGGGTGAGGCGTCTGGAAGGTTGACAAACCCCCACTGCAGGAACTGGGGCCAGTAAAACTCCATCGTGTCCATACAATTCTCCACGTTGTGCACGAGTTGCGCTAACACCACCACGAACATGAAGGGCTGTTGTCGATACTTAAACATCGCCGACAGGAGACTCAACGGCCCAAGACTTCGAGCGCGTATATGGTTTGCAATCTCCAGCTTGGGGCTTTGATCAAAGAATTTCCAGCGCACAAGTCGTGATAATCCACCTGCTTCGTCGACTGCAGAGGCATAGTACACACCCGCTTCTTGCAGAGAAGAGAGCAACTGCTGTCTTACCATGCAGTCCATGCACACACGCTTCTGCTCTGCTGGAGTCGCTCTAGCGCCGATGTCAGGACTTGGCAGTGTGATCGACTCTGGAGTGGTTAGAGCTGTCCACTGGTTGCAGTGGTCGCGGCAAAATCGATGCGAACAGGACGCACAGACCTTGGGCGTATGGATAAGTCTGCCGAATCTCTTGCTACAGCGCATACAGCCGTTTGTTGGCTGTGGGGACGAGCCAAACACAGCACCCAGACTGTGTCGTCGACTCCGAGCGGGTTCTTTGACCATACTGGAGCTCAAAGGGTCCGTGACGTTGCTGTTTGACCGCTTACGAACTGCTATCTGTTGCCCTCTGCCTGAAAAAAACAACAGCGAAGAAGAATCGACTGCGGTATCTGCGGCAAAGTCCGAGTCTGTGTTCGCACCGCTAGTGTCGCTGTCGCCCATGTCGTCGATATCTTCTTCGCCATTTCCCTTTGCTAACTCGAAGTGGTCCATCGCGAACATCCCAGGCGCAGTATTCGTCGTCATTACTGATTCTTCGTCATCCATCGGCATTATCGAGCTCAAGGCCGACGTTGTGAGTGATAGTAGGCCGAATGGGTCTTCGTCTTCGAGTAGATTCTCCGATTTGCCTTGATGAAGCAGCGACCGCATGGAAATCGACGACCTGGACGCTGCTAAGTGCATAGACTCGAGTTCCTCCGCTACATCCTCGCCAGCTTCTTCACTTTCCTGACCATCTGCGCTCTCCTCGGCCTCCTTAGGGAGCAATTCACCTAGAAACGTCACCCATTCGTCTCTGTGTTCTTGCGACTCGGTCTCAAGCAGCAGCGCAACACCAGAACTCTCGTCTTCGACGTAGAACGAGACAGCTTCCAGTCTTTTCCGCTCTTCCTCGTCCATTGCCAAATTGACAAACACTCCAGTGTTTTCACCGTCACTCTCGGGTAGTTTTACGTTCTCACCATCTACGGCCTCGACACTCGAGACTCTGGTACTAGCCAGCAACACAGCGCCACTGGAGCTCGTAGTGGCCGATACGTCTTCTTCTTCGCTACTTTCGGTGCTGGCGTCCACTGTGAACCAATCCACAGACGCAACAGGTGCCTTCGAGACGCAAAAATACCACACGTCGTCACTTAAACGTCCAGCGGAGCGCAATTGGCTACTAGAGGACGACGACGAGGATATCGCGTCTAAGTTGTCGTCTGGATCGTCGACACTAGAGGAAGAATGAAAGACGACACGCTCCCGAATGCGCACGAGGCCCTCGCACCTCGACGAGCCCATGGCGGAATTGCTAGTGCGACACTTCTGGCAGTGGTCTAATACTAAAAATGTACCAAAAAATGGGTCTATGTGGGTTGCTTTTTTTGGGGGAAAATGAATGCGAATCAGCCTGATTCGAGTCTCGATTTCGATAGCTGAATGGCTACATTTGCCGTGGGAATATGTCGCTAAACTCTGTAACACCGGCAGCGATGTCTTGACACACGTAGAGGAGCAAGTAGGCAGTGGAGGATTGAGAACTATCATCTTGGTAGAAGGGTGTCATCATGGTGTCGTCGGCATCCCACCAGCAATTCTCATCGCGCGTACATGACCTGTCCCAAATGCCGTGACCGGAATGATGTACCACAGTAGAGATCGTATTTCGTACACGATTTCGACCCTGAAGCAAAAAAATATATGTTTATTTCGCTCTGCAAATATTCGATGCCACGATACACACGTCATCGACGGAGCAGCGGTTACTGCAGACCTCCGAGTCAATGTGAGCACCGTCGATGGAGGTCATAAGGTCCTCGAGATCGGGGCTGTGAGCAGAAAAGCCAACGTTGTGACTAAGATTCTCTGGTACTAGTTGCAGGTGGTAAAGGAAAGCTCGAAGCGTTTAATTTGCAGCACGAGTATCGTGAGGGACTCCAGAGTGAAGCTGTTTCGTGTGCGGCTAGCACTCTGCAGTAGAAGTAGGAGGAATTGCACAACCTCGACAGCCCGTGCTCCAATGACATCGACTGCAAGCGATACCGTCGTCTCGTACCTGGCGAAGGACGAATGCTGAGCTACAATAAATCATTGAGCTTTCTCAGCACTGGAAATATATTATTGGATCAGAATATTGGTGCATCACAGGCGCGAGTGTTTGGTAAGCTTACTTTTTAAAAGGAATGTAAAGATGCCAAGCTCGCATTGCGAAGCAATTTTCGGAGGAGAAAAGTAAAACTAATTGAGTACTATTATGTGCAAAAAAAAAGGATTCAAGCGGACTCTTCGTATTGTAGCATCAATTCACTACGGTGTCTAACCTTGCATGGTCCACCTTTGTTAGATTAGAAGCCGTACAAAGCGTCATCGTCTCTTTCATCTTTACCATTGTCTTCGACCCATAGTACCTACAGCGCCAATATGCTCTGTGTGTCACAATTGTCGTTGGTGTAGCCCTTGAAACAGTCGCAGACTCCAATTTGGGTGTCACAGATGCCGCGGCCTGAGCATTGCGAGACGTAGTTGTACTGATAAGCTTTATCCGGTGGAGTCACTTTGTAGGCTTTCAGAATGGTGTTGGCACCGCCGTCAAAAGAGTTTCCCGTGAAAGCTCTGTCCAGCGTCATGTCAAAATTAGGGGAGGTAGCAGCAACTACACTCACTACTTTGTAGAATTGGTTCTCGAAAAACAGGGTCTTTCCAGTAAATGATCCAGGGTCCGCTGTCACTGTTACTATTGTAGCTCCCACGGCAACTCCACCAGTGGCGACTGTGAGCTCAGTAACCGCAAACCCCGAGAGGGGGTCAGTATTGAAGCGGGCAACGGTTGATGGAAGTGTGTGCTTGATCGGATAGGTGATCGTGATCTTGTCAACCGCAGTGAGTGCCCCTACCACAATAAATGACCCAAGCTTGAACAACGTAATTGCTTCTGTTGTTGCCGCGCCAGGTTTACTCACTGTGAGAATTTTTAGGGTGACATCAATATCGGTCACGGTCATATCCGATTGCATTGTAAACCATTCCTTGTCGAATCCTTCCTCGACCGTAATCACCTTGTAAGTTTTAGTGGCCGGATCGGTGATGCCCTTAAAGCCATACGCAGCCACTTCCAGCTGCCGCAATCGACCAGGGTTATCAATGAACTGACAGATAACTGACAGACCTTTACTCGTCGCTCGAGCAGCTATAACATAGCCATCCAGATCGCCATTTGTCTTGCCGATACGCTCACAGAGCACGTTACGGAAGGTCTGATTCGGGATTCGTTTAATGGTCGCAGCCACGGCAGCAGCGTTGGAATCTGCTTTGACGGTATCGCTTACATCGTTCAGAATCGGAATTGCTTCAGTAAGGTAGGACTCGCCATGATAATCGAAGAGGCGAAGGCGAACGTAGTTGTCTGGTGGGACTCCTGCTGTATCAGCCGTGAAGGTGCCCGTAGTGTACACGTGGAGTACAAAAGCCTCGTACGTTGCTGTGCCCACTGAAAGGAACATTGGATCCACACCAATTTTGCATGATCGCAGCGAGCAGTCAGCACCGTGATACCACGGATCACAGCGACAACCGTAAGTGACTTTGCTGTCCCATAAGTCATAGGTAACCGGGCTCACATTATCCGGATTCCCGACGAGTGTGCCCGGAGCCTTGAGTCCCAACTCGCTTATACTCTCACACGTACCACGACCACTGCACTTGTTAGGACACGCTGCACGCTGGCAAGCCACACCTTCATATCCGTCAAAGCACACGCACGTCCCCAACGTTCGATCACACAGACCCTTGTTGGAGCACTCCATGTAGAAATGGGCTTCACTGGCGATGGCATCCGGGCTAAAGTACTCGTACGTCTCTGCAGGAAACTGCTGCGAATCCTTGAGAATCCAACCGGCCGTATTACGCACCTGATCGTAATCAATGTCACCTTTGGGCGTGTCGGCGTGGGCATAGCCGAATTGACACGTGCGGTCCAGGCAGTCGTTGCCCTCGTAGTTCTTGTAGCAGTTGCACATATCCTTGGCCATGCACGCTCCGTTACCTGAACAGGCATTGGGACACTCGGCTGACGTCGGAACACTCAGCAGCGCCACGGTTGCCAGCATCAACGCTACCAGCATCTTGCACCTGCCTCCCATTGTTTCTTCAGCCGTCTTTTACTGTAGCTAACTTGTTGGTATGATAGTCCGTTGCCTCTTTGGCTGTGGTTTGCCAAATGCCACTCGCCTGCACTAACCGACAATGCGATCTTGCAATAAAGATTTTGAAGAGGCGTCGGTGACGGGTGAAGCACGATCTTTGTGCGTCTCCTCGATCGCTTTGGTCCATTTAAAGAAATTTGCCCCCCCCCCACACACACACACACAAGGTTCACTGTAAAACTGAGAATATCATACTTGAACTATTAAAAGCGCAATTACTACTGTAGTACATGGTCTGCTTCTGTAGAATGCTATAAGCCTTGCTTCCTTATTTACTTGTTGGCTATCATAACTATCCTCGACGTAAGATAGATAAGCGTCCACCTACAGTGCCAGGATGCTCTGGGTATCACAGTTATCGTTGGTATAGCCCTTGAAACAGTCGCAGACGCCAATCTGGGTGTCACAGATGCCGCGGCCGGAGCATTGCGAGACGTATTTGTACTTGTACGCATCTTCAGGCGGAGTAATTTCGTAGACAAAAAGAATTGTGTTGTCACCACCATTTAGCGAGTTCCCTCCGAAAGGTCGATCCAAAGTCACAAGTGTGTTGGTAGACACCGTGACCGATTTCAGTCTGTAGAACTGGTTCTCGAAGAAAATAAGGTCGCCAGCTACAAGATTGGTTCCGGTTCCCGTTACGGTTATTGTCGTGGCACCCACTGGAACGGCAGCAAGGATCGCTTTGGCGGTAGACACCGTGACCCGGGAGACGCCATTAGAATCCTTCTGGGCATTGAAGCGGTGATTAGTGGTGCCTAGCGCGTGCTTGACCGGGTAAACAAGTGTGATCCCTGACCCCGAAAGCGTTCCGAGCAACACGTGCGAGCCAACCTTGAACAAAGTGTCAGCTGAGTCGGATTGTGGAGAAGCAGTGTTGGTTGCTGTAAGCGTGACAGGCGCTGTTTGGCCACTAATGATGACGCCCGAGTCCTCTGTGAACCATTCGGTTTCTTGGCCCTTCTCCATCGAATACAGCGCAGCAGACTTTTTAATTGGATCCACGACAGCATTGAAGTCGTAGCTGACAATTTCAGGTGCGCGAAGACGACCTGGATTTCCGGTGAACTGGCAGACAACTGAAAGTCCGTGCGTAGTTGCAGCGCGGGTGGATTTGTAGCCGACAAGGTCATCGCCAACATTTGCGCCTGTTGGCTCGCAGTCAACGTTTTGGAAAGTCTGGTTCGGGATTTTCTTGATCGCTGCAGCCACAGCATCAGCATTTCTTTGTGCAAGCTGTAGAGCAGTGGGGGCAGTGGTAGTATCACCGTCAATGTCACTCACAATTGGGATGGCTTCAGTGAGATAGGATTCACCATGGAAGTCGAAAAGCCGAAGCCGCACCCAATCAGCTTGGATCGTTCTACCGAGAGGAGATGTTACACCTGCAACAGTTTGTGTTGTAGGGAAGGCAGTCGCATCAAGCCAAACGTGCAGTACGAAAACCTCAAACGTTGCTGTGCCCACTGAGAGGAACATTGGATCCACACCAACTTTGCATGATCGCAGCGAGCAGTCAGCACCGTGATACCACGGATCGCAGCGACAGCCGTACGTGACTTTGCTGTCCCATAAGTCATAGGTAACCGGGCTCACATTATCCGGATTCCCGACGAGTGTGCCCGGAGCCTTGAGTCCCAACTCGCTTATACTCTCACACGTACCACGGCCACTGCACTTGTTAGGACATGCTGCACGCTGGCAAGCCACACCTTCATATCCGTCAAAGCACACGCACGTTCCCAAAGTTCGATCACACAGACCCTTATTGGAGCACTCCATGTAGAAATGGGCTTCACTGGCGATGGCATCCGGGCTAAAGTACTCGTACGTCTCTGCAGGAAACTGCTGCGAATCCTTGAGAATCCAACCGACCGTAGTACGCACCTGATCGTAATCAATGTCACCTTTGGGCGTGTCGGCGTGGGCATAGCCGAATTGACACGTGCGGTCCAGGCAGTCGTTGCCCTCGTAGTTCTTGTAGCAGTTGCACATATCCTTGGCCATACACGCTCCGTTACCTGAACAGGCATTGGGACACTCGGCTGACGTCGGAACACTCAGCAGCGCCACGGTTGCCAGCATCAACGCTACCAGCATCTTGCGCCTGCCTCCCATTGTTTCTTCAGTCGTCTTTTACTGTAGCTAACTTGTTGGCCTGCTAGACCGTTGCCTCCCCCAGGCTGTGGTTTGCCAAATGCGCACTCACCTACACTAACCGACAATGCGATCTTGCAATAAAGACCTTGAAGAGGCGTCGGTGACGGGTGAGGTGCTGCGATCTTTGCGCGTCCCTTCATACGGACAGTTGCGACTCGCAACTTGCGAGCTTTATTTAGTAGCTGATAAGAAAATCATTTTCTCTCAACGAGTTTTGGAATTTGGAGTTTGTTTGGTATTGAGGACATATGAACCAACCATCCCTGGACCCGCACTCACCGGAATCACCGCGAACACGGCGAGGAAGGAGGTTGATTCAGGTGAGCAAATGACATCTTATGTTAGTGGCGACATGCTTTGTGAATGAGCTGAAATGCTTTGCCACATAGATGTTGTTTCGATCGAGTGGGGAAGACGAGAACAATAATAATGGCGAGACGCAGGATCGAGCTGCAGATGTAGTATCCTTGAAGCAGCCTACCGACTATCAAGCGAATAGTGAACAACCCCCTCCTGTACCTACAACAACCAGTAAATTTGCTTCGTTAAAGCGCAAGTTGTTTCCATCGCATAATCGACGATACCCTCGACTTGTGCCTCCACTTTTCAGTCCCATCAGTGCACCAGTGAGGCCAATCCTGCCACCACTTGGAGAAAATCTGAAGCCTCTTAACCTCAGTAAAGACGATGAAAACAGTGATCAAAACCAAGCGAATGAAGGCCAATCCAGCTTAGAACTGAAAGATTATCAGATGTCGAGGCATCTGAAGTCACATTGCCGAGAAGATACCCCTGAAAGCGATTTTTCTCCACCGGAAGATGACAATAATGGGGGAATAACTGTTCGGAAAATTCTTATCGACGACGATGACGACTGGGAGCTGGAGAGTGCAGTAGAGGCACTCGATATCGAGAGTTCGATTAATGACAAGACATTGGAAGAGGTACGCATTTCTTGTACAAAATGCAGCAGCATTTTCCTATACATTTCTCTTTCTCAAATTGCTGTGCAGATGAGTAAAGCTATCGACGATTTGCGCGTGTGGAAAGAGGCCCATCAGCAGAAAACACAGGAAGCCCTGGATATGTTGGTGCGTGGGGTGACAGAGTATTCTTGTGGTTTTACTTCCGTCTCAGCATGCCTCATGTGGGAATATTAGATGAAACAGCAATCCGACCGAGAGCTTCAACCACACAAGGGTAATCTATCTCAAGACTCAATTGATCGCAAAGATTTTTTCGAAGTGCAACTTGAGGTGAGCTCTGTAACTCGGTGTGGATGTACTGAAACTATACTCATCACTGTTTTGGGTGTATTCAGCTCAGGATACAACAGCAACAGCGGGATCGCGAGATGCAAGTACTTGAGCTCCAAAAAGAAGCCGAGGCGTACCAACTGAAGTGCAATCTGGTTAAAACCACGCTCGATGAATCCGAAGCCACCCGATTAGTAGAGGCATTGCAAAATAGTACTGATTCCGAAGGTTTAGCTCTCTCTAGACTGCGAGACGAACTCTTCCAGCTCGACGTGAAACAACGTCAAGAAGCTTTGCTGCAGGAGCTACAGGGGGCTGACACCGCTTTAGGTACGCTTCAACCTGTATTTTCGACACACTGTGTTGAGCATTCTGGGCTAACGTTGTCATCTTTCAGACATCAACATCGCGAATGTCCAGGTGTGTCCCTGCAACAAAACATGGCTAGTCGAATGTCCTAATCAGTCCACTGTAGGCTTTTACAAGGTCATGCCATCCAGTGATGGCGCAGTTTGATGACCTTGGCGAGTCAAGTGCGAAGACTGAAGATGAAGATCTGTAATCTGACTAATTTGCCTGCATAATGTGATGATGATCAAATCAACTCAAAGTATTTACTATTAAAGTCCCAATTGGTATTCAAACTTGAAACAGAGCGTGTAATTCATATAGACAATATATTATCACAGGTTTCCAGCATTCAACACACGTTTTTCCAATTCCCTCCTCCCTTTCATATCCGAATCCACCTCCAACCGCGCGTCTAGGTCCAACTTGGACTCCAAGCTCTCTGCATCGTTCCGTGATGGCCGCGCGCGAGCTCATCGCGCTCGAGGACGTGGCCAAGATGCCCGCTCCAGGTCTTAGCACGCCTGTCAACGTGAGCTTCAGCCCGGACGGTCGCATCGTGGCCTTCCTGCATGCTCCGGGGGCACAGAGCGGCCTATCTCGGCAACTGTACGCGCTGGACGTTGCTTCACGCCGCGTGTCACTACTGGCTGCCCCTCCCAATCAAGGCAACACGGAGGGGAATCTGAGTCTCGAAGAGAAGCTACGACGCGAGCGTCAGCGTCAAATGGGGGTGGGCATCACGTCCTACGCGTGGAACCCGTCGTCACTCTCTCAACGCATATTGTACCCTCTACAAGGCGATATTTACCTTCAAGAACAGCCAGGAGCGGAGCTTAAGTTGCTCTTTGATAAGACCTCGACTGGCGTCGCAGGAGGTGCCATCGACCCGCAGTTCTCGCCCGATGGCAGATGGGTCGCCTTTGTGCAGGACAAGGAGCTCTACGTGATCCCCAGCCACGTGACAGAGGGCGGTCAACAGGCTGTACAGGTGACACAAGGAGCTCGAGGCGTCGAAGGCAAGTCCAATGGACTCGCTTGCTTCCTAACCCAAGAGGAACTCAGTCGCTTCCGTGGCTTCTGGTGGTCGCCCGACAGCACGAGAATCGCGTTCGAGGGGATCGACGAGAGCCACATCCCCAAGTTTAGGATCATGCACTCAGGCAGCGCGGAGCCGACGGGAGACGCGGCGCAAGAGGACCATCGCTATCCTTTCGCCGGTGCTGCCAACCCCCTGAGACGCCTGGGAGTCATTAAACTGCCACACGCAGAGAACTCGGACTCTCGAGAGATTCCCACGCCTGTATGGATGGATTTTGCCAATCCAGACCCCGATTTCTACGTCTCCAGAGTCAATTGGCTGCCAGATCATTCGCTTGGAGTGCAGAGACTCAATCGACTGCAGACGGACGTGACGTTTCTGCGCTTTGACGTGCAAACTGGACGTGCAACGACGCTGCTTCAAGAGAGCAACCCGGTGTGGCTGAATGCGAATTATCTGTTTCGTAATATTGAGGCGGAGAGTAGGAACACGTTCCGGTTCTTATGGGGATCAGAGCGAACTGGGTTCATGCACTTGTATCTGTACGAGTACACGGCTGGAGCACCAGGAGCACGACTGCTTGGTGCTGTGACGAGTGGCCGGTGGCAAGTGGAATCTGTGGAAGGTATCGACTTAATGCAGGGTCGCGTCTACTTCTGCGGTACTATGGACTCCCCATTGGAGCGACATTTGTACGTGACGTCGCTCATTTCCGTCAGTGACCCGCCGCTGCCGCCTATGCGACTTACTGGGGCTGAAGGCATGCACAGTATCGTGATGGATAGCAGCTGCCGCATGTTCGTGGATGTGTACAGCAATACTACGACCCCTCCTCGTGCGCAAGTGTGCACGGTGCCTTCGGACGCGCAGCTTGCAGCAGTAAAGCCAGTTGAGCCGGCCAACCCGGCGCTGGCAGCAGATCAAGCAGCCCCCGTGTCTGCTGAGCTTGCTGCAGTGTTCCAGAGTATCCAGGACTCGGCGTACCCACTCACTACGGAGCAGGAAGACCTGCGTGTCTCGATTTTGCAAGCTCAGGCTAAGCTCAGTGTTCCAAAGATTATTTCGTTCCCGACTCGTGACGGTAAGGAGACGCTCTATGGCGCTGTATACTTGCCCGACCGAGATATCCATGGTGACGGACCGTACCCCACAATGGTGAGTGTGTACGGTGGCCCGCATGTCCAGCGTGTGGCACGCATGTGGGCGATGACTGTGGATATGCGAGCACAGCGGTTTCGTGATATGGGCTACGCGGTGCTGAAGGTGGATAACCGTGGTAGTTTTCGTCGTGGGTCAGCTTTTGAAGGCGCGATCAAACACTGCATGGGCACGGTAGAGATTCTAGATCAGGAGGATGGCGTCCGTAAACTTGTGGAGGAAGGGGTTACGATCGAAGGCCGTGTAGGAATTTATGGTTGGAGCTATGGAGGCTACATGTCGGCGATCAGTCTTATGAAGGTGCCTGAGACTTTCAAGCTTGCTATCGCTGGTGCGCCTGTGACGAGCTGGGACGGCTACGACACGTGCTACACGGAGCGCTACATGTCTACGCCTCAGCTGAACCCGACGGGGTACAGGGAAGGCAGCGTCATGGAGGCTGTTGGAAACATGCAGAAGGGACAGAAGCTGATGCTTGTCCACGGATTGATCGATGAGAACGTGCACTTTCGCCACACAGCTCGCCTTATTTCGGCGCTGATTAACGCACGGAAGCACTACGATTTGCTGCTCTTCCCTGGTGAACGCCACTCGCCTCGTCACCTAGAAGACCGAATTTACATGGAGCAGCGTATCGCCGAATACGTCGAAACCAATCTGTAATAGGGGGAATATGACAAGCAGATTGGCTATTCGAAAGAGAGAAAAAAAACAGCTAGGAAGAACGGTGTTCGTGTCGTCAGTACGGTGAGTGAGTAGTGCGATGCGTTGTATTGAAATAATTCTAGAGTATGAGTGCGTACTCTCTGCATGATGGTTGGCTGCGTTGGCTGTTGTCAGGATCGTTCCAGCGAGGCTTGAATTGCACGTTGGAGCTCATCCATTTCGTCCGTGTTGGCGGACTCATCGCCGTACATTCCAAACCCCTGTGACGGTGGTGTATACTCTTGAGCGGACAACTCCATGGCCCATCGCAATTGTTCGTCATAATCCTCGATGCCACTTGTAGGAATGTTAGATCCAACATCTCCTAGAGACGCTTGAAGTGCTGCAGTCATTTGCGCGTCGAAATCCGTACCGTGGCCACCTAATGACGCTTTGATCGCAGACTTCATCTGCTCCTCTTCTGACTCGGCTTTAGCCTTGGCTACCAGCTCAGCTTGGATGGCTGCCATCTCACTTTCTCGTGTAGCTTCGGCGATCTCTTCACGCTCGCGATGAGCCTGTGCGGGCGCAGCTTCTCCATGCTCTGCTAGCGATAGTTTCAGTGTCTCCTCTAAGCTCCTGTCCATGGCGTCGAACTCGTTTCGAGATTGCTATCGTACCCAGCTGAGTTAGCACACTGCGCCATCGTTCATAAAGAGACGACAACGTACCATTAGGACTTGTTCCAGTTGCTCCACTTCTGTGCGTTCGCGGTCTGACTGAGCCTGTACTTCTTGCTCCACACCGGAGACGTCGTCACGTGTTTCACGCGAGTTGATACGGTGCGAGTATCCGATGTGTCGTTGTTCCCACTGCCCTGGCGTCTCTCGGATTAAATTTGCTTGATGGTCAGACCCCATAAGAGAGTCGTAGTGACCTCCTCCGTAGTAGCTTAACCTGTGTTGATACCGACAATACAGTGTCAGAGATCACCAATTCGCTTTATACTGTAGTAGTCTCCCACTAACACGTACCGAATAGGAGGTCTAGAGCGAGCGAGGGCGCTATTCTCGTGAAAGCACCGAAGCTTTCGGAAACCTTGTTGTGGATCGTAGGCAAACACTTCGGCAGGACGGTCGTATAGCTCGCATAAAGCTTGCAGCTCCGGATCGTCTCCCCAGACACCATCCCGTCTCTTATAGTGCAAGTACCGCATGAATGCAGCCATGTCGCCCACCACATAAGGTTCGAAGTATTCCTTCTCGCTCTCCATGTAATTCATACACGCTGCACGTACAAGAGCGTGGTGACTATCATCGCCATACACCTGATGACTCACCGAGCGGAAAAGACAATTGCCATCGCCTTCGATGTCGTAAATCCGCAGCCCCAATGTCGCCTGCAACGAGTCTCGGTAGTGTGTAAATCTCGGATTCTGCGCTTGGATGACGCGTCGATGTGTCATGTTCGGCGCATCCACAGCCAGCTTTCGCTGCTCGAGCATAGTCCCACGTCCACGGTGTTGCAAGTGCTCTCCAGCCGGTGCCACTTTTGTGGGCGTGAATTGAATCCACTCATCGAACTTTTGATCACGTCCAGGGTATCTCACTAACACCGACCCTCCACCTGCTCTCACTGCGAGTGCCTCCTTCCACAAGCTGCTGTTGCCCCCGCCAGGACGCACTTCAATCTGCTGCGCTTGTCGAATTGGAGCACTGTCATTCCGAGCCTGCTAACAACGAGAAAAACAATAGCTCGCTGAAAAGTAAAGAAAAAAGTATCAGCACCTCATTATTGTGTACCTTGGTGCCCTGTTGTGCCAGACGACCCGAGTCCAGCTGCAACCATTGGTGCCATGACTCGTGCATATTAAGAAATTGGAGCAGAACTTCTCCATCTGCAATCTGCAGGACTCTGGCCGGACACCAATTGCCGAAGATGTTCTGGGCGTCCACAAGATCACCCACGTGCATCTGACGCCTCCACTCGTAGTCGAACACGTTGACGCGCATCATTTCTGGGCAATCAAAATTAATTGCAATGAAGAGAAGAAGAAGAAAGAAGCTATGCATGTAATGGGGGTTTTGGGGTATTGTACAAGGAAGAAGGAGCGTACCTTCCTCAAGGTCGGAGTCCTCGCTTGCTGTGCGGTTTCTGCCATCCATGGGGTCGTCTGGGCGTTCTCTTGGGGAGGCGACAAGCCGCTCGCACACTGGCTAAGGTAGTCAATTCCGTTTTCTGAAAAAGCAATAGTACTGTAATAATTGATTTCAACAATTATTGTGCTCTATTTTATTATTGCTTTATTTACGGGCGGTGGATTGGGCGATGCCATAGTAACAAACCAGGCCATCGTCGTTCTCTATGGTTGTATCGGCACCCTTGGAGATAAGGTATGCACCAAGCGAGTCGCCGTAGCCGTATGCAAAGCAAAAGTGCAGCGCCGTATTCCCTCGATTCTGCCATATATGGTGAGAGACAAGTCATCGAAAATTTATACAAAAAAAAACTCTTACGTTCTGGCTGTTGATGTTGGCACCTCGACGCAACGCAAGCTTGGTGATACGCTTAAGTCCGTTCTGACATGCTATAGACAGCAAAGTGTTACCGAACGCGTCCCTCGAGTTCACAGACACACTGTTGTCCAGCATGTATACGACCGAGTCGTAATGGTTATGACGTGCAGCTGAGAAGAGATCATAGTCGTCGGCTGGAGGCGCGGCGCTACGCAACTCCGAAGTATTTTCACTACGATGCTGCTTGTAGTCGATCGAGTCGTCAGTCACGGGTAATCGTTTACTGCTGGCACGGAAAGCCGCATCCTTATATGATACTGCGGGTGACTTCACCGCTGGATTCGCACTCGTTGGACGAGACGAATGGGAGAAGATAGGAGCCACTTCTCGAGGCGTGACGTACTCACTTTCATCGGACGAGGCGGAGCGTGCGCTCCCTCGAGGTGACACGAAGCGCTCGTCCTCAGAGCCTGTACTGGAATATCCTCGTCGGGCAGAGCTGCGAGGCGTGTAGAACCGTTCGTCTGCGCCTGCCTTCGCCTCCATCCTGTACTGTAATCCCTACCCTGCTCAGAGCGGTGCTACAAATTAAATGTCAAAAGAGATGATGATCTTCTTCCTTCCACCCCTATAAATACGCAAGTCTGCACGTGGCGCACCGACGAAAATAAGACAAGTATCTTCAGCATTCCCTATCAGACAAGCAGTGCACTTTCAAACTGATTGCGTGTTTCAGAAATCCAGTCTTCAAATACTGCGGCTTGTTTCCTTGCAAGCTCTTTCGCTAGTCAGACTCAGCAACTATCCATCCGCCTCACTGCAGAGCACAAACAGCGTGACTATGACTCCACCGCTGATCTTGAGTCGCAGTCTTCTGATTATTCTTCCATCTTAGCGTCTCCGTCCTCGTCCTCCTTCACGTCAGACACCTCGACGGCATCAATCTGTAGAGGAAACCAACAGCAACATTAGCCACGCACCACATAGCTCATAATTAATAGGCACCGTCTTCGTACGTAAGGCTGCAGCTCGGCGCCCTCGATGATCTTGAAAGGCTGGTCCACGCCCACAACGGCGATGGTCACGTTATTGGCCGTAAGCTCCTGGTCTCCCTGGAGGCAGCCACGCACACCTTGCAGTGCGTGGTGAATGAGCTCGTCCTTTCCCACTGTCAACAGCCCAAAAAACGTCAGCATTCTTCACCTTTCTCAAGCAACACAAGATCCACCCACAGTTGGGGAAGCTCTCGAAGTGCTTCTCCAGATACGTGCGGGCAGACTGCGATCGCGCGCCAATAGCGATGCCCTTGTACTCATAGTAGTTACCCGACGGACACGTCTGGTAGAGGTGAACTCCTTTTTTCTACAAAAACAGTAACAATAAGATCTCAGTTCTCCTTCTCGAAGCACAATACTTAAATACACATACGTCAACGCCAGCCACCAGCAAACCCACACCGTAGGGGCGACGGATGTACGACTGAGTGCACTCCTGCTTCTTGTCCGCCACGTCCGAGACCAAGCGCCCCACTGTGATGGAGCTGCCGTACACGAACTTGTGGTTGAGGCTCTCTGTACGCATGAATCGTGCCAGCGTACGCGCATCTGCTGTGAGTCCCGAGATGGCGATACCCATGTGCTCGTCGATCTTAAAGACCTTCTTCTGGTGCTCGGCCAGCTCCAGACTCTGACGTTTGATGGCGCACAGCACCGCGAACTTGCTGGACGTCAGCCCCAGGCACGCGCTTCCCTGCTTCACAGCCTCCATAGCATAGTCGATCTGGTGCAGGTGGCCCTGCGGACTCCACACCGTCACGTCCGTGTCGTATTGGTTGCGGAACATCTTGCTTCGCTTCGCTCAATAAAGTGAGGGGGAAAAGATCTATAATAGTGGTACTGTTAGCGACGGAAATTGGCGACACTGGTACCGTGACTGACAGTTTTGAAGGAAACAGAAAAGCAAAACGCCAGATAATCTGGTAAAGTAAAGAATCTGGCCCAGATTCTTTACTTTTCACTACTGCACCCCAATTGGTCAAAATATAGTTCTTTTTAGTATGATCAAATTGTACTGTTTCACACGTTTTGGTTGAGCATCTAGTAGATGAAACTCGCAAGTTTCATCAGTGTTGGAGAGGGGAGGGTAATTGCTCCACTTCTTATCGTCGGCGGGAGATTTGATCCTGCGCTGAATTGTATACTCTTTAACCCCAACAAAAGACATTTAAGGGCAAAAAAAGAGGACCAAAAGCTGATGACCTTGCTTGGCTTCAGTTTTGGTAGATGCTCCTGTGCATGTATGTAGAAATTTATCTTTTAATAGCTTTCTACAGCCATACTAGCAACTCTTCGTTGTACTACATGTACGCGTTATTGCATGAGCTGCTGCGCCATAAGGTGTCTGGAATGACTTTTCGGTGAGTATTTTGTAAAGACAAAAGTCGTCAAATTCGATAGTATAGTCAACAATAACAATTTCAATACCATACAAAGTGGCGTCGGGTGTTTCAAACTGTCATATCAGGCAAAGGCAGTTGCGCTTGCCGCGCTCGAATATTGTCTTTATAATCGATGTGTTAAGGACAAAATCAATCGGAGTTTGACGATCTTGCATCTTATTTCGTCCTCATTTTAAGGACAATTTTGTTGGGCTTAAGCTCTTTTACGTAGTCAAGGCGCCCCTAGTCTCAAAACCCGTGACCAGCTTTCAAACTTGGGGAATTCCTCGTCTCAAGCTTCTTAGAGCTTTTCTTATTTTGCTTAGAAACTGGTAGTATGAAGAGCAGCCGATGCGAAATATTTGCTCACTCGCTTGCGTTACACCGCAATTTGTCTTGGAATAAACAAGACGTAGCTTCTCTTTCTAGCTTTTCCACTCGCGCCTGATGAATTCGGCGCATCTTGCGTTCGTATTCTGCATTTGGCAATGACATTCGCATCGACACACAATTAACCCTTCAAATGGCTAAAGGCCGCTGTAATTTTAAGCTTGAAGTTATACATACATTTCAGCCATGTGCTTCCAAACTTGTACGTAGCCGACGGTATCTTTTCGGGATGGGGTGTGAGCATAACAGCATCGTTAAAAAAGACTATTCAACCACTAAGGGTCGACAGTGTAGAACTTCTTGGACCACTCTAGCAAAATGCTAAGACTGGACGCAAACATGTTCGGTTCTGTACTAATATCATGAACGAGGCCCGATGTTGAGACCCCAGCTCCCACTTTTTACATGTATGGACTTAACGTCCACAGGCATGCCACTTAGCTTTACAAGCTTCTCTATGCTGATTTGCATCGCTTACATTAATTTACACAAAAAAATAAAAAGTGTACCGTACAGCCGCTTCCGAGGATGCGTCCCAATCCTTGTACTCTGCCAGTGCCCAGTTTTCCATGTCGATCCAAATGCCCGTCTTGCTGGCATTTACAATGCAGCCTCCTTGAAAGACTTCGTAGTTTGGTCGAAACCCAAGTAGAACGCTGCTCTTCAAGTACTTTTCATACGACTTTTGAACGGCATGTGGCTTTGTGAACCATAACTATAAGGTAACATTTAAATAATTACAGTCAAAAGTATTTTGTTTGTCTAGCACATTATTAATTATATTGTTTAGTGATGCGCTGAATCATACTCTCGAATGCTAGCGCTTGAAAGTGGTCATCCTTGCTGGATTTATCGTCCACATACATACCACGATGCCGTCGTAGACAAGAGCTAATCATGTTGAAGTAAAATAATCGGATTCAGCGCACTTAGCTCAGTGATGTGTGTAAACGTACCGCTTCATTACTCGAGCCCTTCATGTATGTTAACACTTCAGAAACGGTAGTATCTTTTTCTTATAGCGCTAACCTTTTAACGCTTTGGACCCGCGTTTTCCTTTAGCTGGTGGACTTTACCATCTTGCTTTGTCCAGTCGTGAGCGATTCTGCGTATAGCACCGAGCTGCCCCGCAGCCTCCTCGATTCCGCCAAATCTTGACAAACCCTATCGTGAGAGATATACACCACTTTGGCTGACGGCTTTTTGTGTTGCCGGATATCTTTGTCGTTGTCTGTAAGGGCCTGGTCGGGGAATGATCGTATCCGTTTTAGATCGTCTTTGACGATTTGACGAAGGTTCCACGTATTTGATTGGTCAGTTGGAAGCTTGATCGTCTCAGCTTGTCGTCCCAAAGTGAAACGAGCGTTTCACTGACACTAACTCAAAACAGTGACATCGTGGATGGCTGCTGCCGTGGCCGCAGTCTCTGCGGCCACGGGAGCCCTCGCAACGAGTGTACACGCTGCCACCTGTATTTTGTTCAAGCAAAAGGATAATATCCTTGCGTTGACACCTCTCGAATTTGCAGCGGTGCTTAAAGATCCACGCTACGATGAGTGGTTTCTAGTAAACTTAAGATGTGGTCAAGCTACGTTTCTTCGGCTATGTGAGGCCCTCCGCCGTGAGCTCCGCGATTTCGAACTCGACCGCTTCGTTAAAGAGCACACATTTGAAGAGAAAGCTGCATGTCTACTCTTTTTCCTTGGTTCGCTGGGTGGTTATAGAGAAACCACAGCAGCATTTGCAGTATCCAAGTCCTGGGTTGTCGAAGTAATTGGAATTTTTCTCGCTGTTCTAAGGAAATCTCTGCCCAAATTTGTGCATTTCTCTCGCCAGACCAAATAATGGGAGCGTATACAGGCTGCCTTTGAAGCTAAAGGCGGGATTCCCGGCGTAGTAGGTGCTTTCGATGGATCGTTGGTGGAGATTAACAGGCCGGACGACTTCGAAGGATATTATTGTCGGAAGATGCACCCAGCTCTTATCGTACAAGCTGTTGCCAATGATAAAATGCAATTTATGAGCGCAGATATTCGTCCTGGTTCATGGTCTGACCAAAAAACATGGCGCGCATCTGCATTGAGTTCTAGGATTGACAGCTACTTGCCTACTGGAACCCATTTTCTTGGAGACGCGGGTATGCAATCTGCCCTGCAATTATGACGCCTTTTGTGGAAAATACAGGCGAGTGTCTGACGCGCAAGCAGCTACGGTACAGCTATCTGCATTCGCGATCACGAATGGCAGTTGAATGCAGTTTTGGCCTTTGGAAAGGTCGTTTTCGTATTGTGAATTGTTGTCTCAACACTAAAAGCGTTGAGGAGCCGTGGATATTGTAGCAGCGACTATGGTTTCGCACAGCATTCTTATGGATATTAAGGACGATATGTCTTTTTAAGATGAGGAATAGGAATGGGAATGCAGTGGAAGCTGCAACCAGGTTACGACATGCTATAACTGCATTGATTCGTCTGCAAGTTTTCTGAGAGATGCGGGCTCACGAAAACGAGATTCTATTCTGGCCATTACAGAAGTATTTGCTTCATATTAGAAAATTAGCTAAGCTAGTTTCTGTGACGAATCAAATTTAGCAGCTCTCTCATGTTTTGGTTCTGTTGACGAAGTTGCTCGCTCTGGGTTTCAATTTGCTCTAGCAGCTGCAGGGTTTGAGCGTGCGCTCGGTCGCTCTGAATCTGGAAAAGCTCAGTTTGCTTCTGGACAGCCGTAGCTAGGCGGTGAGTATCTTCATTTTGCACGTCAGCAAGGCCTTTCCCTAGTACCACCAGGCCTTCGCTAAATCCCTTGGCGACAGCTCCTAAATTAGCTTCAACACACTCACCTTGAGTACGCTTTACACGCTTGGCAGATCCTTCGCTGCTTGTATCAGAAATGGTTCGCCGGCCCGATATATCGGGGGACGGTGAAGCGGGCGTCTCACTTGTAACGATCACTGCGTCACATGCGGCTGCAATAGTATCCATGTTCTCGGCACTTAGATGCGGGCGGTTGTTCATGCCCGTTGCATCTCCCCAATAGTCCTTCATGATTGAGTAATGCTTAGGACGTCTGATAGGGCCGCAATTACCAGTGCGACCCTCATCTTCACGCGCAGAAGCCCACTTTGTCTTCATGTTTTTCATCTATAAGAGCCAAAGCAATACCAGCTAATTAATAATATTAGCTTAATTATGGTTTTGTATTCGATCACAATATACCGGGTTTGACATTGCTGGTCTGTGAAAACTTTGCTCCGTAGAACAGATAGAGCAGAGGCGAGAGCTGCCCACGCATATTTAATGCGTTTTGTATTCGTTGTTCTCTTGAAGTGTTTTGATAGCTCCTTATAGCGAAGGCGAAAGATGGCTTCCACGTCCTCATCGCTCCAAGATGCTACTGTTTTGCTTGTTGGACCTTGTGGTGCTGGTAAACTTGAGTATGTAGCTTCTCCTCCACCTTCCACATAAGCAGAATGTGCACCCTCCTGTGCGATAGAGGCAGCTCTGTCAGCAGCAGAGGATGTGACACTGTCAGGGAGGGAGAAACAATCAGCTTCCGTGGATGGCAGGCAGTCGTACATGGCGGTCATGTCCCTCGCTCTGGTGTCGTCCGTCGTGGCGGGGACCGTCAAGCTCTCCGACAAACCCTGCGCCGACTGATTGACGTACTGCGCCATCCTGCAGGGTTGGCTGGGTCTCGGGAAGGCTTGTAATAAAGAGACGCGATCGCCGCTGATTTGACCGTTTTCTCGAATGGTACCAGAGTACATAGTGTGCCACACAGTCAAACTCGAGAGCCATCCGACCAGACTGGAACGGTTCAGACTAGGGCTAGGTCCATCTGAAACTGTCAAAACCGAAACGATCGTTTCCCGACCAGGCCCTAAGCACGTTTTCCATGTCTGATCGCACGATTTGTGACATGAAACAGTGTGTGATACACCATCAGTGTGCACCACTGCACGGGTGTGGGGCACGTTAAAAACAATTCTCGACACAGGTGTGGGACACATCAAGCATTACGCGTGGTGCTCACAGACCACAGTAACTGTCGCGCCGTCCTAAAACTTCGCTGGTGCAGTCGCATATTCTAACAACCATTCTGCTCAGGCTATTTATAGATACTGTCGCCATCTTGTTTACTTATTTTCTCAGGTAAAGCGACAGTTTAAGGGCCTGTTCAGCAGGCATGACTTCCAGTGGATTTGACCCTTTTGGCGGATTTATGGGTTGTAAGACGATTGACCAAGGCGCTTAATTTGGGCGGATGACAAAATCGTTTGGCGAATAGACGACGGGTGGTTTCGGGAACACATATTTATATTCAGTTTTAACTACATATCGTGATACTTGCTGCCCGCCTAAGTAAACTATGCCATCCGTATAGAGGTCATAAATAAAGCAAATTAGATTATGTAAATTTTACTACAGATTTGGACAGAAAGATATGACGGACACAAATCAATGACACTTGAGGTTTTATTAAAGTTTAATCATACAGTATTTTAGACCAATAAAATTGTGTCAGGGTCAAACTGGCTGGGGCCACTCAAATTAGTCGTGGAATGGAGGGCGTTCAGGAGGCGGCACTAGCGCGCTTGCGAGCATGGTGCGTGGGGAATGATATCAGCCCAAACTTTGTGTCAGAGGGTGGCGTCGAAGTGGCGGAGGATGAAGTGGTTGAAGTTGTCGCTCGAGACCGGTGAAACGCGTACACAAACGCTCTCAAAGTCAAGGTGCTAGACGATATCAATGCGGGTGTGACCGTCACTGAAGCGGCTCGGCTACACGGTATTAAGTCACGCACTGCGGTGCATGGCTAAATACACCTTGAAATCGTAAACGAAGGTCCAAGTGCAGTGCTGGTGGCCAAGGCAGGGTCAGCTCGTTTCCTTATTGCGCTAAACTCATACAATGGGTTAAGCAAATGCGTCGCGACGATTTTCCCTTGAAGACGTCCCATGTGTTGCTGTTCGACAAAGAGGAGTACCCCGACTTCTTCAACGATTACTTGGCCAAGAACAAGGAGGAGAGTCTAGGGCGATTAATTCGACGGCTCGTTTACAGCAGGGCTTCTCGTTCCGCCGCTTCACGAAGTCCATTCTCTCTAAGGTAGATCTCGAAGCCGAACAGCGGGCGTTCGCGAGCCTGGTGGGGACGAAGGTAAGCGCTACGTACGCGAGGTCCTGTATTTTCAACATAGATGAGCCTGCGGTATACTACGATGCTACGCCTACTCGTATCATTAGTGAACGTGGCGCTAAGAAAAGTGTCAAGATTAGAGGCCGTACGCGCTATGAGCGAGCTAGTGTGCTGCTGATAGTGTCCGCTGAGGGTCAAAAGCTACGACGTCGGCTCTCCAGCCCTTGGACGTCGGGGTGATGGGTCCTCTTAAGCAGAAGCTGCGAGCTATTACACTAGCGTTTGAGCTCGGCGCTGTCGGGCCTAGCGGTCACCTGCCTCTACGTGAGCGTCTTCTGACAATTGAGCGCATGTCGGCCCTTGAAAAGCGCAAGCGCCTAGTTGAACGTGTAATCGCTGCGTGGGATGCAGTTAGTAAAGACACTATAAAGAAGGCTTGGCTGAAAGCGGGTCTCTAAAATACGGGGCAAACAATGCAGTCCAGATTGGGCGGGGGACGTCAGCATGTGCACCTGCTCCCTTGGAACCCTGACATCAAGGTCACCGCTAGGGTGATTAACTTTACCGTCGTGGTAGGAATTGAACCCTCGTCACTCGAATCAAAAAGAGGGGTCAGTAACCGGTTGAGCACCAGACTGACGATTTAATAGTGCTAAACTTCAAGTTAGATTCTTATCATTTGCTCAAAATGGCCTTTTCTTATTGGCTGAATATACTTTTTAGCTGCGGTGTCGTTGTTTTGTGTCCACACTTGCTTGCATACGAATAAAAACCTCCGGCGTCATATCTTCCTGTCCAACTCTGTATCTTTCCGCTAGCCTATTTGGCTTTCGTGTGCGCGGGCTCGTCTACACGTGGTATTATGGTTGTTAATGAAAAGTCGAGCCTAACCGCGTCTCTAAATGCACAACCGACAAGTAAAACGATCATTCCGATGGTGCAGCATTCGTGCGAGCGGTTTCCAGTTTTGTAAAAATGTCAATTGTAAAGTGTAGTTTGTGAAAAAAAAATTGTTTTGAACGTGGTTTTGCATTCTAGATGTCACAACCCGCCAAGAAAAGTACAGTAGCCCTTAGAGAAACCCTGCTGATATTACGCTCGACTTCCAAAGAACCTTTAGGCTGTCCGAAATTAACAATGATGGCTAGACTACCATTTACTTCGCCTGCAGCCTCTCGGAGGATTTCTCGCTGCCGTCCAGAAGTGACAGTGATATCTTGGATATCTCTAGTAGCTAAGATCGGAAGGGGCCTGTTCACCTGAAATTTATGCAGTACACCTGAAATCTATGCAGATCTTTCCAAACATCACTTTTACAAAGAGGATTTCAAAGCTGCGATGAGCCTCTAAACTTTAATGGCTAAGACGACTATCAACCAATCAGAGCGACTTGCCTTTATGCAGCTGAATTATAATTTCTTGCCTCGATGTCGACAAAACGACCTAGCACCTTAAGATCCTAACAGGTTAGCAAGGTTTTGCACCCTTTTGCTAGCAGTGACCGGCATGGGCGGAACCAGCCCAGCAAGTTGGGGGGGGGGCAAACTAAAATTATTTCTTTTAAATAGTAATTACAATGCATTTCGATGCTTTTGCATTGTACTAAGTGCGTATATCACCGCGTCTTTGTCGATAGCATTTGTCAAGTCCCGTTCTAAACCAAGCATGCGTAAGTCTGACAGCAAATCATGGCCCAATGTCGTTCTAAGTCGGGTTTAATTCTTTTCATTGTGAAGAAGGAGTGCTCCGTGGTAGCCGTTGATTCAGGTAGCACACAAACCACACACACCAATTTGTGTAGTGTCGGTAGAAAGATTGAGTTCGTACACGATCATCGCAATACTGACATCTTCAGTCGTTTTAAGCAATCTTTAATCGCTCCTTCCAAGCTTTTCAAATCTTTTAGATTCAGCGAGCAAACAATCCAGCTAGTTTAAGGTAATCATCAGCGTAGGCTACACGAACGACATCATTCTTATTCCAGCGCTTTAAAAGATCCCCTCGGACTCATACTTCCACATAAATACGTTAGCTGGACCATACTGTCGCCAAACCTACACTGCGAGTCGTCAGTAATATCGTTTAGAACTGTCTTGTAGACATCATTCAGATAGTGTGTATTTTTGTGTGACAACATTACTACATGGTGTTTCTGCTCCAGGCACGCCTTTTCTTCCTTTGAGACGATATCGGACACCACGTTTCACCCTCACCCACGGATCGTGTGTTTGTCAGATATTGGAAGCTCGCTGTTTTAGGAGGCAAAGCCTTTATAGAATTTAACTTTTTCCAGATTATTTGACATGAATGGGCCATCGATGTTGAGTGAGTTATCACGTATCTAAATAACTCCACTATAATTTGCTCGACAAGTGGGGCTGCTGACGAAGTATGCATGCCCTTCATTTGAAGGCTTAATGAAAGCGTGGTGCATTTCTCCAATACCGTAGCTAGATAATCGACGTGAAAAATAAAAGAAAAAAAATCAACATCCGATCCATCATTCCTGCTGCTTCCTCTCTTTTATCCAATTTCACCTCATTTCCGGCAATCTCGAAGAGGACATTGCCAATGGGATTCAACAGCCACCGAATTAGATGTAGAGCTCGGACTCTACAGTTCCATCGTGTTTTGCTCAGTGACTTTGTAGTCGATTGCAGATTGATCCCTTTTATAGTTTCTAAAAATCCACTTCGGAGTAACTGCCCCTTCTCGTCTGCTGCGGTTTGCAATAATTGCTCCTTGCGCTTACACAATGCACTGCCTACAGTATGTATTCTATTCACAGCATCCATACAATCAATGACCAATACCGTGTTTTATACAGCTGCAAGGTTGAGACGGCGCGGGAAGCAAATAATGAAATTTGCTTGCGGACACTCGTTCCGAACACGCAGCTAGACACCGTTGAAGCCCCTGGCCACGTTCGCCGCTTCATCGTATCCTTAACATCGACACTAATATAAACTTAATAAATATTGTAAGCTGCGCTACCAACGAAGTGAACAGCGTACTCGCATTGGTATCCTTAACGTGCACTTTCCCCAAGAACATCTCCTTGCTTTACCAGTCGTTTTGTGCACAAACCAAATAAGAATAGACACCTGCTCCGTTTTAACCTCACAAGTTGCTTTCTCAACAAGCTGCGAGAAA